CGGCAGCACCGCTGGCGGCAGCCACCTCGGTGTAGGCAACAGAAGCGCTAGCAGGTTCAGCATCGGCGGCAGCATCGTCGTCGGCTGCGGCCTCAGGGACACCATCGAAGACCGCAACCGCGTCAGTGGGAGCAGCAGATTCAGGGGCAGCATCGGCAGCAGCATCGTCGTCGGCCGCCGCCTCATTGACGGCATCAGGGGCAGCATCGGCAGCAGCATCGTCCATTGTAGCAGCCGCGTCAGCAGCATCGTGGACCGCCACCGCCTCCGTGACGGCGGCGGTGTCAGGGGCAGGGTCGGGAGCAGCATCACCCGCGAGATCAGCATCTGCGGCAGCAGCAGCAGCAGCAGCAGCAGCAGCATCACCAACCTCAGGCGCCAGGGGAGCCGCGGCCGTCGCCGGTGTAGACTCTGCCTCCGGCATGAACAAGGTCTTGGGGTTGTACGCGGACGCGCGGGAGTAGTCCGAGGACGACGACGAAGCCGGTGACGAGGGCTTTGCCGCTGCTGGTGCTGCTGTTGTAGTGGGCGTTACGGCCGGCCTCGACGAAGGGTCGAAGCTTCGGGGGCGGTAGAACCTAGTCCCGTGGCTGCACGGGTTCAAGGACGAGTTGGACCCCCTTCTCTCGATCATGCTCTGGAGAACGAAAACAGAGGCCACAGAAAACGGAAAGGAGGAGTTGAGAGATAAATAGTGGAAGATGCCATCAGGTGCAGCAACTAGACGCGAAAAAAGGCTCGAAACAGGAGGGACGCGAGGTCAATGGTCAAACAACTACAACACGCGTTTGCGAACATCTACCCATTTCGAGTGTGAATGCAGCGTCTAGTGCGAAAACCGGGTTCATTTTGTGGCAGGATTCTGTTTTACGAAAAGGAGAGAGAGATGTACACGGCGGAGCTGGGAAAAGTAGAAGGAACGTACAGAGAGTGTTTCGAGGCATGGTATAGCCAGGGAGTTATACTGGGGCATACGAAGTGTCTGAAAAGGTGGCAAGTGATATCGACAGGATAGATAAGGTACAGTAGGGACAACATTTTTGAACAACATTTGGCAAATGAGTACAGTCGACCCCGCTTGAAAGACACCCCACGTTTCCCCCCCCCCAAATTGTCTTTAACGGGGAAGTGTCTGTAGAATTCCGGGGCCACTAACGCACCATCCCCGGGGCCAATGAAGGCGAAACATGTGTCAAAAGGTGCGCATTCGCAGCAGAAAGGCGACCACAAGAGGTGTTGTTTGAAACCTACGACACACGGTGATTTGAAGGTCGCAACCACTGCTGCTATTGTCCTGCAATACGTACTTGCATACTATCGTTTGAATTTCCCCGTACTGCATCACCAAAACGCTGAAAGCGATGGTGTTCTACGACCTACGCATCGTACATGTACACGACGGTAGTGCGCTGGTGTTGATATGGGCTTAATTATTTGCTGTATTTTATTTTTTAGGCGTTTTCCTCCCCGTGAATATCTTGCCCAAGATCTCGCTACCGCACCTGAGAAATATCGAAGGTTGTAAAACGACACTAGGAAAATGTAGGTTACGCAGAAACACAGACACAAAAAATGTCGGGAAAGCACAGCGACAAAGAGGACACCGCGCCTCCCAAAAGGTCAAAATGAGCACTCTCTCTGCTGTCCGTGGCCTTCCTCTCCGATGCCCCGACCACAAAACGCGTGCATAGGTCGCCCGCACCGACACTGATGAACCAGTGACACCAGTGCAGATTTGAACTGCCACGTCGGTTCGTCGCATGGCTTCAAGCCGGCAGCGGACGAACCGCTATCAGATGGAATTTATCTTTCCATACGCAGTGTACGGCTGCAGCAGACCGCTGTTGATGATCCAGGATCTACAGGTGCTGCAGCACATTTTCTGGGGGGGNACCATGTTTCTGAGATTTTTTGTGTCCTTAAAGCGGGGAGTATCTTCAAAAATGGTGTCATTAAAGCGGGGATGACTGTACACAGGAAGGAACGATTGGCTTTCGGTGATCTTTCCTGGGAGAACAATGGCCGTCCTCTCGAGGGCGCGTGGACAACGGTCTACATGTAATCGCTACACGAGTACGCCCAGCCCCCTCCGCCCCCCCAGCAAAACAGGGTGAAATAATCTTCGTTCACGAGACATGTAGCACTTTATCAGCATACAAAAACGGCATGCCCCGAGGTGTTCATACATCTTCCAAGAATGGATACGAGCGTCCTAAAAGCAGCAGAATGCAATGTTGAAAAATCCACTCACTCATAACGAAGCTTCTACTTATCCTACACGGCATTTCTCTTGCTGCCGTTGCATTTCACCCATCATATATTTACAGAGAGAGAGAGATGCACACCGCTGAGAACGGCCAACAAGCGTTCGGCGTTCATGCATGTACGCCTCGGGTGCCAAAACAATTTCGTCTACAACCGCAAAATGATAAGGCTCACCACCAAGCTCTTGACCTTCTGCAGCGGAACGACGTCGGTGTCACTAGGACCACCGATGGTACTACGCCGGCTCCGGGCCGCCGCCGCCGCCGCCACCGTTCTCAAGCCTCCGTCCCGCTCGCGTGCAGCCGTAGCAGGAGTGTCCATAGTAGCACGCCGAGCAGCAGCAGCGGCAGGAGGAGGAGGGCTAGCAGTCCGAGAGCAAGCATAAGCAGCCGTAGCAATGGCAGCAGCGCCGGCAGCAGCGCCGGCAGCAGCATTGCTGTGCACCTCCCGGTCCATTTCCAGCTTTCGCGAAGTGCTCCTCCTTCGGCGCCCTCCCGCAGCGCCGGCGAATCCCGCCGCCACCGCCGCCGCCGCCGCGGCGGCAGCAGCCGCCGCAGCCGCCGCAGCGTTGGCGCTTTGCGTCATGATCTTGGCGGCGTCAGAGAGCGCCGCATCAGCAGCGTCGATGGCGGCCGCGACCTCTTCCTCGGAGTGATCCCCGCCGCCGGCCGAGCTCTCAACGACAACCGGCCGCACCGGTGACAGTAGCAGCTCGGCCGTGGTATCTTGCGCATTTGGAGCGGTGGCGGCGGCGGAGGCGGCGGCGGCGGCGGCGGCGGGTTCGGGAAGGTCGTGAGAGACTGCTGCTGCCGCAGATGACGATTCGACGATCTGCTGCTGTTGCTGTTGCTGTTGCTCCTGCTGTTGTTGCTCGTCTGCGGGGCTATTTGGAGGGGTGCCGTCGCGAGACGAAGGCTCCTTGGTAGAGGCAGGAGAAGCAGTGACAGCAGCAGCAGTGCTGGGGGCGCATGAAGAATTAGCAACGGCCTTTGCCTTGCCCCGGCCACTGGTGGCGCTCCTGCGGCTGCTGCTGGTGACCCGAACCTTCCGGTCGTCGCAGCTGGACATCATTACTTTCCACCACCGGACCAAGCTTGCGACCTCGCACCACACCAGCAGGAAGACGAGAAGGGCCATCACCAGCATCGCCGCCGCAGCATGGTCGTTCACGTCCCGGCCGAAGGCCGCGCCGACTCGGGCGCTTGACCGCCTCGAGGTCTCCTTGACCAGACGGCCTGCTTCAATGGTCCTCTTCGTCAACGCCCTCCCCCCCTCCTTCAAAGTTACCATCGGCTGCAAGACGGTGCGCTGCGCAACAGCAGCAGCAGCAGAAGAAGAACGTTCGTGCTTGACCTGCTGCTGCTTTGGAGAAGATTCCACGGCAGCAGCGGGCTTCTTCCTCTGAGCAGGAGCCGGTCGCCCTTCCGCCTTTGGCGGCGCCGGGCTGTGCACGGCTCCGTTCACGGACGCCGTGACGTAAGTGGTGTAGGATGATAGGACATCCGTCCATGCGTCCGTCGCTGGGGAAGTCGGCGCCGGCGTTACGGGCGGCGCGGCGGCACGCGCTGCCGCCTTCTGGCGGGCGGGGGCGGGCGCCCGCTTCTCGGCCTTGCCGGCAGGAGCATCGGCGGTCGACGGCGAGGGCGGTAGAACCACCGAACTCACGGCGGCCGTTGCCGAAGCCACGGCGTGGGAAGTCGAGTTCACCACCCCGTCCGCCGCTTCGGTCGCGTAGTTCACGTAGGAAGTCACGCACTCCGCCCACGTCGCCGGGGGCGGAGGCTGCGCCGCCTCCGCCGCCGCCCGCGCCGCCGCCGCCCTTGCGGCCGCCGCTCTGCTGAGCACGGAGTAGAGAAACATGAGCAACCCGAACAGGCCCGCCTTGGGGTCGAAGGCGGGAGGTCTGCCGTTAACTTTTGCGGATGCAACGAACGAACGAGAGTCTTGACCCAATTCCTCAATAGCACTTCTGCGCCGGTTGCGAGGGAACACAGCAGCAACAGGAGGAGAAAGCAGGTTTGGGCATCGGCTTTTGCATCATGCGCGGACGCGCAGCGTGTGCGACGCAGTGATCATTATCATTTGTGTGGGGTTGCAGATGAGGGGTGACCACGTTGTTGAAGGAACCCTACGATTTTTGAAAAGTCTGCAGGGGAGGGAGGAAGAATGGTGCAGCGTATCTCACCTGCTGTACCTTCGACAAAGCGCGAATGCGCGGTCTACTACCCGTGAAAGTCAGCTCGAGCTTACGGTTGCGGCGCACTTAGGCGCCGCACAACGGTATGTTTGCCCGTAATGGCGCGTTGTGAGGTCTCCCTCTCGCCGCTCTTGGCCCCTCCTACCGCCTGTACACTGGACCTACCTGGAACGCGCGAAATTGCCGGCTCGGGCGAGGGGGCCCGTCAAACTGGAAAACGCTCAGATGCCTGGTACCCCACCCCAATAAATAAAATGCGGGAAGGGGTGTGGGCGGGGTGCGGGGAGGGAGTAGGAGAGAGAAGCAGAGTTCGTGTGCTGCCGGAGGAACCAATGCCTATCAAAGGCCCAAACTACAGCAGCAGTAGGCTTCATATGAAATTTCGATTGGAAAGTGCTATTCGGACAACATTCGTTCGCCTTTGGATACGTACGATCGGTGACAAAATTGATCTGTGCTGAGAAATACAGTCAGTACTTAACTATCAGTGAGGTCATCTATGAAGATTATTGCGTCGTTCCTCGCTCCCCGCTTCGTTGTCCATGTCCGATATCATTAGGAGAAGGTCAATGGGGTGGTCGACAGCACGGGGCAGGCGATTAACACAAAATAAGAAAGTAAACGTGATTCACGAAACGACGCGTGTGCGATTGCTATGCCACGATTTACCACAAAAAGAAGGAAAACATGGCTACACGCTGCAATACCAAAGAAGACTACACTGCCGAACCATTTTGAGTGGGGGCTCTTCATCACATTTATTTCATCGAATTTGCGTCGCCTTACTCCATGTTTACATTCCGCCTCGCGCCATGTCCTGGCGACAGCTTCCACAAATAAAATAAGTGCTGCAAACTACGTTAGGGGCAACCACACGACAACAACAACCGCCGTCCCAACCAGGATAGCCCCCCGTCACATGTTCGTTCGACGTTCGACATGAAGAAGGATCCTTGTAGAGACCGCTGTATGGAACGAATCGGAGTGGAGAACGAGAATTCGAAGAATACATAAGGTTGGGTGTTTCGCATCATGCCGCGCTCGGAAGCGAGGCGTGCGTGAAGAGTCGAAGCTTCACGCCGCCGTGCAGCCCCACCCCTGCCTCCCGCACCGCGGTCGCTCCCGGCACTCCCCACGTGTTACACACAATTCGGCATGGTTTCACACCGCCACCCACGCCACCACCATCATTACCACAACCACCATTCGAACGATCCTCTTCTTCCCCCCCCCGTGTTGATACCGCCTGATTGTCGGCTCCAGGAGCCCCCTCACTCTTTACTATTTGCCCCTCTAGGCGCTGTGTCTCTGAGTCTCCTGGGAGAGGGAATGATGTTGTTGTTGTTGCTGGGGTGCCGTGGCCGCGGCGGAGCAGGGGGAGGAGGTGGGACTGCGCGATGTCGGCCATGGCGTCGGGCAGGAGGTACATGACCACCACCGTGGCGTCCGAGATATCGACATCTCGTAGGTCGCCGTGAACCACCGATACCTGCCCGACGCAAGCCAGAAGAACGAACGGACAACATGGTCGGATATCTAGCTAGCTATCACAGGTTACGGAGGACAAGAGTAAGGCCAGTGATTGAGGGCCAGGAAGAGACACCTGACATCGAAGGTCACCCCCGAGATGTATTCGAAGGGATCGCGAATGACAGAAGACAAGGTGAAATAGGCGACAATCACTGACCCAAACTACCAGAGCCGGAAAAGGAAGCACATCAGAACGTCGCCACACGAAAGCAGAAAACAAAGAAAGCGAGCAGCATTTTATCTGTCGCAGCGCCTAGACTAGCCTTCACCCTCCGCCCCAAGTCTCATCTCATATACCCTGCGCGCTACCCACTTTAGTTTCTTGGAACGGTCGTGTACTTCTCGGGCAACCTGTTCGACCAATCAAATGTCTGGGTGCCTTGTCTCCTACGTGCCACAAAAACAGTTCCTCTAAAGGTAAATCGATCGTCGGCAGCAGCCATACATGTGATGGAGTCCCTGATACTGAACGAAGCGACCGCAAGTCCATCGACACATACCTTCGAGTCCAAGCCTTTCGCGGCGACCCGTCGTCGGAACTTCTCCGCCAGGTCTTCCTCGATCTCCACCCCTTCGGTGAACGAGTTCGTAAAGGCAAGCATCAGGACACGACATGCAAACGATGGCCCGGTCGGCCAATATATATGACACGAAAAAGGAGCATCAAGAGCTCGACCAATGAGGATGAAGCCAGCCCAAAGATAGGGTCGTATTTGTATCGACAACAACAACGGGGGTAACAAATAAGAACGGCAACAGCCGAAACCGCAGTAGCGACCAATGCCGCCATCAGAGGGACGCACCAAACACCCACATCGAGATTTAATAAGTCAACCACGACATGAGGTGGGGGGCGGACTGTTGTTTACGATCTAGGAGTTGGAAAGTCGTTGCGCCCTCTATGCCTATTCAGCCCCTCTTCTTCCCTACTCTTGAATAGGAAGCAAACATACCGGTAGAAATGAGTTTCTGAGGTCGCCTCAAGCTACACCAAAAAAACAACAAGTACCCAATAGAGATAATGTGGAGACCTAATGTCAGAAGTTTGGTCCAAAAAATTCGATCACCCACGAGACCCGTTCGGCGCGACAAGCCGGTGTCCCTTCGCTGGATACGTACCCTTTGCTGCCCCGTTCATGTCGGGAGTACTGTGAAAACGGGCGATTTTGGCAGGGAGGACCTACGTCTCCCAGAAATGAAGACCACCAAAACCCACACCAGAAGTGTACTGACCGGCGCCTGTGTGTTAATTTTTCCCTGTTTGATTCTTTAGGTCTTCACCTCATTCGTAGCGTTCGTCTGCGATACCGTATGTGGCGCAAGAAAGACACCCTGGTGCTACGATTTTGGAGAAAAAAACGTATCATCGGGTGTGCTTTCCTGGAATGCGTGTGCAGTCTTGTGTCACCCGTGTGGTCAAATGCACGCTGACGGAGCTCACAATTAGGGGGTGTGATAAGCCAAGGGCGTGTGACAAAAGGGGTGTGATAACATATGTACCTGCTCCACCATTCCTTGAAGGGCTGTGAAAAATGAAGGGGGGGGTGATAACACTCAGCAGACTCTGTTGTGCGGTCCTCAACCGACGTTGTTGTGCGGGCCTCGGCGGACGCTGTGGAGCGGGCTTTGGCTGCACTTGCGGTGGCAGGTGCTGATGGAGTCTCATCGTTTGGCTTGGCGGCGGGTTGCTTCGAGAAAAATGATGTGATCGCCCGTGAAGGCGCCGTTGCAGACGTTGATGGCACGGTCTGAGCAACGTCACTACTAGCAGGGTTGTGTCAGGAGGGGTGCCTACCTCCTTCACCTTCGTATTGTCCTTGTTTGTGTGCATGCCAGGTATGTACCTCTGTTCCGGTGTGCACGTCGAGCTGTTCACATTCGTGCCACCAGTCACCAGCCACCAGGTGTGATAATAGGGGCTCCGTGATGTGAAATGCGGCGTAACTGTAGGGGGTGTGCTATCTTGTGTCACCGGTGAGATAAATTGGCATTTTTTTCTGGGTAAAAAAAAGCATCACCGGGTGCGCTTTCCTGGAGAGGTGTGTTAAGGGTGTGATATCTTCTGTGAATAAGCCATCTTGTGTCGCTTACGGCAACCTTTGCCACAAGCGAGCGCCGGAGACTGCACGCGAAACAGGCGCAGCAGATGGCACCCCAGTTGCATGATGGGCGTCTGCCCTGAAGCGTTGAAAGCCTGGTGCAACTTGCTCCGTCGACGCTGACCTTGACTTAACACGAGCCCCAGCAACCACAGACAGTATGTAGCAGATTAGAAAATAGGTGCGTGCACAGCGGCAACACCATCAACTTGCCCCTTACCGCAAGCCTTGGCCCCCCGGCTTTCGGCGGCCTCAATGCAGATTCGCCCGTCTCCGCACCCAAGATCGTACAAAACCTTCGTTCGCCAAAGATGCGCGGATAGCGAGTAACACGAAAGGCGTTCCGCGGGCGATCTCACCCAAAGTGCTAGTCATGAAAGAGAAAAATAGTAGTGATGCAGGTATTACATGACATAGTTGGTGCAATAGTGTGGTACAACGCACGTACTTCTCTGTCGGTGTCTATGTAGAAACTAAGAATTCCTGAAAACGATTGAAGCTAGTGGCATGCAGCGTGTCCTGGCCAGGAGGAATAGTGGGGTCATGGCAGAGACCTGAACAGCGGTACATAGCAGGAGAAACAACCATGCTCACCAACCAGATGCATCCCCATCGCTACCTCAATCAAGATCACTTCCAAAAATGCATCTTCATGTCCAGAAGGACGTTGATGTCCAGAAGGACAAACACACCAACCTGCAAGATACAACCAACACATGCCTTGAAACTTACGTCATCCGCGGTAACCCCCGCAAAATCGATGATGGCTCGCACGACGTCCATATCGGCTTGGCAGGGGGGCGCTAGTGAGTCTCCCTCCATCCACGCGGGCAAGGGGTTATCGCTGACCCCCTCATCCTCTTCTTCCTCCTCTTGGCGCCCATGTGCAGCGTCGTCCGATCGAGACCCCGGCGCCATCTATCTATGGTTTCGTGCGGCCCCCAACAACATACACCCATCCAAAGCGCGGACCGAAAGCAAGGGTGGTTGGTGGAGTGCTTTCTTGTGGCGTACAGCACTAAAGGCCAACAAGAAGCCCACGACCCAGTCGCGATTTGTTCATGTAGTAAGCTACATGATTTTTCAGGTTTATTTGTACACATGATACGAGATGCGGTTTGTTCGTGTAGTAGCTGCATGACTTTTCAGGTTTACGTGTAGACATGAAACAAGTCGCGGTTTCTTCATGTAGCTGTATGTTCGTTTGTGTAGACCTGATACGAAAGTTCAGTTTTCGACGTTGGTATGGCCCCGATGACCGTCGTACTAAGCACACAGAGTGTAGGATCCGGTTGGCGTCGAGATGCACCGCATTTACCACTGACGTGCGACCGACGCCGTAGCCTTACTTCCCCACGAGCCTCTAATTTATCCAGGCGCAAAGAGGGTGGTGGCTTTCTAGCACCAGGCACGCGGAAGAAACCAACGTGCGCATAAGCTGCACACGGTAAAAAAACAAATTGCCTACAGGTAGGCCGCCCACTTCGTCGTATGTTCCGAGGCGTGTAGAAAACAGGCCAGAATGGAGAACAAGTCAGCATTTTAGTGAATGGAAACGCGCGACGTAGTGTAATTTCTGTGCTGTCTTCATTATGGTGGTCACTTCTGTATCTAGACTACACAATCGTGCGAATGCGGCATGCAACGAGACACAAGCAGGCCCTAGGCATACATCAAGATAAGCTTTCGACGCTGCTCGTGTTGCACAATTTCGCAGTAACACTGGCTTTTTCCCGTATAGCCACAGCAGCGGATAACAACCGCTATTTTGAGCCTCCCGGTTAAGTGCTTCATAAACCACTAGAGATGATTAGCTGCGATGTCCCGCATAGCGGCATATAACACATCGTGACAGCACTACTATGGACCGCAAACCGGGATCACGACTGCTGCAGGAATACAGGTACAATTGTATAGTCTAAACTTCAAGCCTGCTGTGCAGACTACCAGCACTACGAGACACGAGGTCAAAACTGACAGTCCCGTCACTTGAACAGCAGAATCTCTCTCGACTGGTGCGATTGACTCAGGCGGGAACCCAGTCACGGAATGAAGTAACACAATCGGTCTCACCTAACACCTGTCACGCCAAGTATCCTCTATCGTAGGGCAGTTATGCGCGGCAGCAGCGGCTGTGATGGGGTGGCCAAGTTTGTGCGGTGACCGTGGGGGCTCCGTGTATCGGGCGCAACCAGTCTCACCCAAAACCGGTCGCCCCGGTGGTCTAGTGGGTAACCTCGCAGCCTGCTAAGGGCCCGGTCATGGGTTCGAGTCCTGGCAGAGTGAGTTTTTCTCTCACTAAATAAATTCTAGTCTAGGATGAAAGCGACGCGTTGCAAAGCTCGTTGTTAGTAAACCACAATCAATCGACTTCGTAAGTCAGGAGGGCAGGGATTGCGTACCCTTCTCGCGATAAAAATACCTGAGGCAGGAACCGCAGGAGGGGGTCCAGCCCCCCCCCCCTATGTGACCCCGGTTGGGTCGTCTAGCTAGTAGAAGTGGAGGAGGGGCCAAAGGGGCAGACGACAAAATCCGATGACGGGAGAAAAAATAAAAAACTACAGCCCGTAGCAGGAAATTTTGAAAATTCGAAGTTCTCTCGCGCACCACACAGACCAGATGTAGATGCGTTTGTGGGCGGGGTGTAGTTATATGCATATATATGTCAACGTGCCCGTCTTAAGTTTGCCAATGTGCCCGCACAAACAAGTTGGAAATAATTTTTGTGAAAGCTCGTGTACGGTTTCGATGCACACCAATTTCTTCAAAAAACATGTGAAGTTGTTATAGCATTGATTGTATTCTGCGTAATTTATTTAGAGCGAGAACTTGCCAGGCGTGGGAACAACAACCCGAAATTCGCCCTACACTGAGATCTCATGCGAGATCAAATACCATCCTGAATGCTATCAGAACACGAGTGAGAGCAACGCCGTACACGGTCCGTCACTTGCTCGATGTGAACGAGCAAGAAGGAGATTTTCCGATATTTCTGCGGTTGATCACGTGTCATGTGGCGGAAGGAGGCAGATCCGAGGAAGCAGCAGTTACAGAGTTGGCGCCCGCAGTTAAGAAAGAGAGTTGTTGTTGTTGTTGTTGTTGTTGTTGTTGTTGTTGTCTCCACATTAAAAACCATCCCGGTCTCTCTATCCAGTACCTCCTTCTGTCTCAATCTCTCCGTACTACTAATCCATCACTTGACTCGGCCAATTTCCGTGGTCACAGGCTAACGTACCTAGAAAAGGTATACCAAAATAAAATGGACCCCAAGGGTCAGCAGAGCGATAAAATAAAATAAAACAAAACATAATCAGAAACAAATAAAATAAAAAAATAAAATAAATAACTAGACTAGTGGAACGAGCTGAGTGGAACGGCCGCACCACCAGCCTGGAGGGGTAGCCTCCCACTACATGGAGGCAGGTCGACGGCCTGGGGCGGGGGTACGTGCCAGTAAAAAACAAAACAAAAGACAAAATAAAACAGAATAAAGCAAAGACGAGGACACAAACAAACTCGCACAGAGACAGGGATATCCCTAGAGACAGTCTGAACGCGACAGCAAACGGGGGAGAGGGCAACAGAAAAATTAGTCGTTGAAATTCGACCGCAACATGTCACGTCACGCGGTCGGTCTCTTCTCGCTTGCTTTCTTCCCGCCGCGCCGTTTCCTTCCNCCACTTTTTTCAAATGGGCATATCTCGGTGCAAAATCTGCCGTCCCCCTCATTATTTTTTTTAATTTCTCGCGAAAGCGTTAGCTTTCGTTTGCGCACCTCAGCGCGACGATCCGACCATTCCACCACGAGCTACAGCACCAGATGCACCAGCACGGATGATTCTGCGTAGACTAGCACTTTTGTCCGCCTTCCTGCTAAGCATGGGTCGGAGTAGAGTGGACTCCGCAGCGGCCGAGAAGGCGTGTGCAGCGGTCCGCAACGGCAGCATGTCACGCTACGCTGCCGCTGCTGCCTTTGGGTTGAGCAAGACCTCGCTACTGCGGCGCCTGAGCGGTGAGTGCGACATGGACGCACGGGTTGGCCACGGGACTGTGCTGACGAAAGAGGAAGAAAATGCGCGAAAAAGATGTGCTGCTGTACGCTGGTCGGAACTATATTCCTCTCACGAGGAACGACCTGAAGGAGCGTGTGAGACAGCTCTGCAACGACGGCCGGCCGATCCCATGGGACCCCGACAAGGGCCCGGGGAAGTCGTGGTTGCAGGGCTTCCTCCGAAGGCACGATCGCATCAGCCTTCGACTCGCCCGCATCTACGAGGCCAACAGGATGACCTCGCCGGAAG